GTAAGCTTGAACCTCAACTAGAATGTATAAAACATCTAAATGGCTATGCGGATCGTCTGTCTTAAGATAAACGAGTAAATTGGCAACCGCTGGCTGAGATTTAGTGCAATAAGTCCCGCAAAACCGGATCTAGGTAGGCCGAGGGCTGCATCCCTACTGAACGAGGATATCAATTACTGTGGTGGTAGGTCTGAACGCGAGCAACAATAGCTATCCGGATTAAGTGGTAAGCTAAAACAAGCACATGCAGTTTTCACACGAAACAGAATGAAGTATTGTGATTATGCTTTCATACAAATGTCACTAGCCTGGCTCAAGAGGCAAATGTGTCTTTTTCTTTGACAACGAAAATTGGTATAATTATGAGACAAGCTAGTGGGAAAGAAAGGATGTGTCTGTATAAATATTCCTTCCATTAAGATGATAAAGATGCTCAAGAACGGACAGACATAAAGAACCAAATCCAGCAATAGGATATTTAAGTTAAAAAATATTTTTAAAAAGTATAAGTAACGAAGAAATACGAACCCAGAAGGCCGAATAAAGAAAAGGTGTATATATACTATCTCCATATATGTATATATATATATATGTATATATATATATAAGATAGATAGTGAAGTACAAATATCCGAAAGTAATACGATCAATATTCTACCGACTAGGCTGGAGAATGAAGATGAAGATTGAATCCAAACGAGCACAGAAAAAAGACTCGGGACCTTAGCACAGATAGAGTAGCCAAGGCTTTGTTGACGATGAAAATCTTTGTGCGGGGCAAAAATGGCCGTACGCGCAAAAATCAATCTAAACTCGTTTAACAAGCCAGCTGAGTTGTATTTAGCCTTAAACTCGAGGCATGCAGTCGGAAGCATCGACAGAACCAGACAGGTACAAGCTTATGTGCACTACCCAAAGGTTGAAAACGGATTGCTTAGGCGTGAGAGGTGAGAGGGTAGAGGAGTTAGATTGTGGAGTCAAAATGTTTGTAGGAGAATAAGCCATCAATTTGAAATATTGTAGAGAAAATATTAATGATAGCAAATAACCTAAGGCAAGATAAGGGACATAAGTGAGCAGAACCTCCCACTTAACCCGCCATCGTTCATTCGAAGATCAATTAATCTTGCATACGCGATGCAATGTGGATGTGCCAAGAAAAAAACGGACAACCAGATAAATAGGATACCATTAAACTCGCGAGCAGAAACAGGTATCACAAATGAAAGCCATTAACAAATTCCAGATAATAGCTCGAAGCTTAAATCATAGTACAAGAGAGGAATTCTGACCACTAGCGGCTGGATTGAGTTTTAAACACAGAGCAATCGAAAGTAAAAGAATAACGTGCACAGGAAGAATTATTTTGAAAAATATCTTGGGTGAGTTTGTGAAAAAGGAGAGGTAAGTTGAGCTAGGATGATTCATGACAAAAATTGAAACAAAGTTAATACGCAGGCAGAAACAATTGGTGTTATAATTTATCTGAATAAGACACAACTCGCCCATCCAGCAATCTAGGTGTAATAATCCTTCATGTTGAATGTGCAAATTACGAGAACGAACTGGAAAAAAACAAGTGAAAGCAGGGATAGTTGATTTCCTAATGTCGAGTTTACTTCAAAAAAGTGTGGTAGCGACATGCATACGTACATACACAAACACAAGGCGCATATATAGATATTTATATATATATATATTCGGACATATTAGCTAGGCTGAGAGCGAAGAGTTTGGCAAAAACAAGATAAGGCGTTAGATAGAGTACAGTGCGCACGAGGACGAAAATGCAAATGTACATGCATAAAACAGGACCCATAGGTAAAAGCAAAGAGGAATAATGCACTTGAAGGTGAGAGCAAATAATAGGTGGTAAGTATGTACATTTAAAGTAAAGTTTGAAAATCAAGTGACAAGAGTTAGATAAACTCGCTGAGGCATGGAGTAGGGAACAGATCGCAACAATAAATGGGAAAGGAGGGTGAGAATGCTACGAATAAGATTTTTAACATTGATGACCGACTTGAAGATGAAAAAAGTGATAAAGCATTGAGAAAAGATTGTATTCTTGTAAAAAGCAGATGCAAGCGCAATTGCTTAGGCATGCCTACCAAACTACTAGCGGCATTAAAGGCAATGTGAAGTGATCGGTGGAGGAATGTAAAGACCAAGTATAAGCGAATCCAATACACCCAGGGTAATAAAATGGGATGAGAACAGGAATGACTTGCGGTTTGAGCAGGATTATATATTCAGATGTTGTAAGATATAGTTAGGTAGGTAATTCTGCCAAAAAATATTCATCGAAAGAGCATCTCTCGAAGATTTGGCCATATTAGAGGCATCAATTTTACTCGAAATAGAGATAGCAAGAGAAACAAACCAATATACAGGAGCATACTTATTATAGATGACTTCGATAGCAGTTGAATATTTTATGGTTCTAATAATGTGGATTTCCATCTTGGCAAACAAGTGGACCAGATACGGTCAAGTAGGATTATTCGGGAAAGTTAAAGAAAGTATAGAAGTTGTGTCAATTCTTATGTGGTAGGATAAATTGGGCGATCAAGTACAAAAAACCTTACAAAACAAATAAGCGACCCATATGAGGATGCGGGTAAGTAAAGATCTATTGATTTCACTTGTGCTTTGTAAAAAGTGAAGTGGATGCACAAATAAATACAAATGGGAAAAAAGGCAGGATAGATCCGCTGAAGTTGATGAGAGCAGGCGATAAATCGGCAAGATATACTCAAAAATATCAGTAGCTCAGATGAAATTTCGGCCATGTTAAGCTGATTCAAAGGCAACAAGGGTAGTGGAGATGAGAAATATTTAAACAAAGCAAAATCAAGCTTGAAGCTAGACGTCATAACAGAGTAATTACTGATAAAGTTATTTGAGAAATCAGAGATAAATGATTGTGTAGATGAGAAGTATAAATGAACGGGATTTTTAGAGAACAGAAGGCAAATGGTCGACGTAATTAGCGGGAAAGAGGCCGGTTCGACCCCCTGGCATCCGACCACGCCACCAATTCTCGTCTTCTTGCCCCACCACTTCAATCACCTCGCCGCGGCGGAATGACATTTCATCCGGATCACCTGCCTCAAAGTCAAAACGAGCGATCACACGCTTTACAGCCTCGTCACTGTTGTATTGAGGGAAACGCTGAGAATAGAAAGGAAAATAAGAAAATATATTAAAAAAAGCTCACAAATAGATATTCGAAAAATTTTCCGACCATTAATAAAAAAAAATCGAGTTACATCTGTAAGTGCAGTAAGCTTAAGCATATGCCAAGTGAGAACTTAATGAAAAAAGCAAAAGGCGAAAATCCAGTCATACAGGATATTCACTTGCGTAATATAATATTTAAAAATCATTAAATGCATACCGCTTAAATAATAAGTATGCAGTAGCTGTCAAGTACGATTCCAGATTGATTACAGAAACAAGATAAAAATGGCTAAGAAATTTAATACCAATCTAACAAAAAAATGTGTACGTACAAATTAGCACAAGGTCAAAACGAATAATAGTGTGGAGGTTAGTTTAGATAAATGCCGAGTTGGACTCTGGATGCAAGCTGGCAAAGAAAATAACATAATGTCGGTTCTACCTTGTTTTCGCAACTTGGTCGGAGCGTATGGTATACCTTGTGGAACGTACCTAGTCGCGTGTTCTCTGCCATAGTATCGCGATTTCCAGCATTGGACCATTGGCTGGATACATTCCTAAACGTTTCGCCGGCATCGTCAGTGAGAGGCGCCATCGTGAGCACAGTTGCAACTTATCAAAATGACAGGTGAAGGCGATCCCTTTAATCAATTTTATGTTCAACTGTTGTGGCATCGCTCCTCGCCCCTATTTTTTGTCCTATCTTCTAGTGCCGCATCTCTTTTTCTCAACCCCACTTCATATAGCCCATCCACTTATTCACACAATTCCCTAATGTCGCCTGACATTGTGTCGCTACAAGTGGGTTTAATGAAGCGTAATGATCTCCACTACCGGTACCAGATGGTGTTTGTAGGGCTTCTTGCCTACATCCTGCCCCCTTTTTTCCTACCCGCTTGTTCACAATGGCGCCTTTCACTGACGATGCCAGGGAAACGTTTGGAAATGTACCCAACCAATGGTCCAACACTAGAAATCACGAATACTATTGCAGAGGACACGCGACTAGGTAAGTTAAACAAGGTCTCTTTGACATTTTCACTAAGTTGCGAAAGCAAGGTCGAACCAAATGAGACTGTGACCAAACAAAAGGCCACACCATATTGGCTTCATATATACGAAGAATAACATAAGTTGAAGGTATGAAGACCAAGATGGTGGTCTTTTGTGTGCTCGCAGTCTCCTTTCGTTGTATAGAGGTTGTTTAACCTTGTTTTCGCAACTTGGTCATATCAGTAGGAAGACTTAGACTTAGGAAGACGCACCTAGTCCGGAGTCCATTGTAAGCATGATCATTTCCAGAGTAGGACCGTGGACATGGTACATTCCCAGACGTTTCGCCGGCATCGTCAGTGAGTCTCGCTATTCCTAACATCACACAACAACTCGTCAGACACAAGTGAAGCCGATCCTTTGACCATACATGTGCTAAACAGTTATAGTATCTCCCCTTCTGCCCTGGTCTTGTCAAATTTCCTATATCCTTCTATCACACATTCACTGTTACAATTTGTCTCTTGTTTAATTAAATCTAGTGTGATGTGACCTTTTGAGCGGCTTTCATGAGAACCCTCCTCACTCCACACTGGCGTTCTCACCCCCCTTCACCTTTGTGCTGGGAATGCTGATCAGAGTCTGCCATATTGTTACGCAGTCCTCCTTCCCTAGGTCCTATCACAGTCTCCCTCTTGCCCCGCAGAATCCATCTGCTATCGCCCTGGTTCAAGCATTTCACTCGACCTCTGCCACCCAATCTATGCTACTCGAGGCGCTATTTCTCACACTCTGCGTCTGAGTAACTAATTCGAGGCTAAAGGCTGAGTAAGTCCCAAGGTCACGCATTTGCTACATGGACAAAGTTTCTGTTAAAACCTACTGTCAGCCAACTAGCTCCGGTCTCCGCCCCGTCTATCCTTTTTCTATCCCTAATACCAAGTCTATGACTTGCCATGACCTAGTCTCTTGTGTGCCAACCCACAAACGTTGTGGTTCAACATTGAACCTAATTAAAGTAAGCAGTACCACAACATTTGTATGTTGGCACACAAGAGATTAGGGCATGGTAAGTCATATACTTAGTATTAGGGATAGAAACAGGATATACGGGGCGGAGACTGGAGCTAGTTGGCTGACAGTATGTTTTAACAGAAACGTGGTCCATGTAGCAAATGCGTGACCATGAGACTTACTCAGGCTTTAGCCTCGAATTAGTTACTCAGACGCAGAGTGTAAGAAATAACGCCTTGAGTAGCATAGATGGGGTGGCAGAGGTCGAGTGAAATGCTTGAACCCGGGCGATAGCAGACGGATTCTGCGGGGCAAGAGGGAGACTGTGATAGGAACTAGGAAAGGAGGACTGCGTAACAATATGGAAGACTCTGATCAGCATTCCCAGCACAAAGGTGAAGGGGGGTGAGAAAGCCAGTGTAGAGTGAGGAGGTTTCTCATGGAAGCCGCTCAAAATGTCACATCACACTAGATTTAATTAAGTAAGATAAAAAATTGTAACACTGAAGATGTGATAGGAGGATATAGGAAATGTGAATACACCAGGGCAGGAGAGATATCACAACTGTTTAGCACACGTTTGGT